ACATAAGTGTCAATAAAGTGTCCAATATAAACCTGAGCTTCAGGTCAGTCCCCTCCCTAAATCTCAAACACTATTTGTGTATCCGCAAGGACATTAAAAGTRTTAACTTCTGCCATCATACAGAGTTAGTATTAGACACCAACTTAATTTACMTATTGATTTGGTCTTGATATTTTAGTTTACTTTTGGGAAGGAATGATGAAGCCCAAAAAATGTACTTGGAAGCAGAAAGAATGTGCAGGGAACCAGATACTAAAGTATATTACAACCTTGGTAAATATAATGCTAACATTGTATATAATATCTATTAGGTAATACCTACCATCGATTATGAATATCTACTTACTAGTAACATTATAGTCAATKGTAAATGGTAATACCTACTATTAAAGTTTTCTAATTTTTRTTTTCAGAACTTAATATTCTGTAATGTATTACATATACCTATTCCAAATAACATTTCACAGGTTTGTGTTACTTGAACTTAGGAGAATTGGACAAATCTAAAGAATATTTTCATCGCACTATTCAACTTAGCCGTAATCAAGATGCTTACGAAAAATTAGCTTCAATATTCGCCATGGAAAATAACTTTAAAAATGCGACCAGTATATTAATTGCGGCTTCAAAGTTTGTTATTTTGAWATTAAAATTTTTTCTTTAAATCCGTATTTGTTTTGATTCGATGGACAAGAATAAAATTCCATACTCTTAACGAATAAATATTGTTACCAAAATCAATGTAATTTTTAACGAATTCTAACTTCTAGCTAGACGCTWGACACTATCTGACTATATTGTTATATAGGTAATTAACTGTGCCTATTGCATTAGGAAAATACCAACCTAGTGTATAGCACTACGGCGTATTTGCTTGTGGGCTTTTATTAAATATGTCTGTCACCTGTTATCTGACGGCAGTGCTTTTCTAAAAAGTAATGATCGTGTGCCACTTTAAAACTATAAATTATTATTAAATAAATAATTCACGCAATTTAAATATAGGTATGTGAAAATATTAAGAAACCTAATAATATAGTCATCTAGAAAAGATACTATAGCCTGTAGGTGTCGGTCTCTTCCAATGCCGTACCCAGGATTTGTATTTAATGTATTCATTTAAATTGTCACAATTTTAAAACTAAGCTCACCCGTCAACATTATTAATACCTTAATACCTATATGATATGAACCCATTACGCATTACTAAAAATAAATATCTCATTTGTAATTTAGAGAAGGAGAGAKGGTGCTTAACCCTAAATCTAAACCCACCCCCTGGATATGGCACTGGGCTCTTCACTCATCTTGGCAAATGATAATATAATATTTAGTAGGTACCGCAGTTGTGCTCTCTGCACCACAAATATTACAAGTGATTTAAAAAAAATGTTATGATTCAAAAAATTATTCTGATCTAAATGCTTGTATCAATTCTTTAATTTAAGTTATTACTAACTTTTTACTATTTAMGAAATTATTGAATATAGCCATAAAGGTAGTTGGTACTCATTAGAAAGTATCTTAATATGTATGATTTATAGTAACGCTTTTTGTGTACCTGCCTAACCTAACCTACCCACTCTTATACTAAAATACAAGTGTTCATAGACATAAGGGTTAATAAAAAATAAAATGATAAAAATGTTAGACAAGCTAGCCTATTAATTACTTAAAATTAAAACATCGTTGGTCAATAATGTTAAGTTTAGATAGTTTTAAATTTTAATGGCAAATAACCTAAGCCTGTACTTAAAATAGCTACGTCACGACCATACGACAAATCTACATCAATAATTATTTTATAAATACCAGACAAATCTGAAAATATAATCCCAATTTTCTCTTTCTCATTTTGAATGTTATTAAATGTATATTGCTAGATGCCTATAAAGAAATACGTAACTCCGTACCTAGGTATGTACCTAACTTAGTACAAATATTTATATATACAACAAAAACATATTTCAATAAACATATTATGTAGGTGCCTATACTTACATAAACTAAATTAATTTGGAAACCAATAATTTACTTTTATGTATCCACGATAAGGTTGTTTCCATTCAACACGAACATATCTGTAGACTTGGGCTTGTTATATATGAAACAACGTAATTATGATCAAGCGTTTAATATTCTCGGAAATACACTGTGCCAGGATCCCGAAAATCCTAAAGCACTTCTGACATTAGCAGCTGAAATGCAGGTATACTTATATTCCTTCTTGACTCGTAAAAGTTAATTTTTCATGTTCACGAATAAATGGATCATTTTGTCAACAGAGAAACTGTGGATACGACGAAGCATTGGCCAAATACACTAAAGCTGTTAATGACTTATCTGAATGCTCTGAAACGTGGAATAACATCGGAATGTGTTTCTTTGGAAAACACAAATACGTTGCGGTAATTCAAATTATTTTTCATGTGTAAATTTACATATTTGTATGATTATTAATCAATGGTCTTATGCTTAAAATAACATTAAAATAAATTTGTTTTTAAATCAGTTAAATAAGTTAAAGTAAAACAATTTGGTATTATGTACCTATTTGCTATTATACGTTTTAAATTATAATAGACACCYAGGACTTTTAAAATAATAAATTATTTATTTCAATATTAATTCAAATAAGAAATATTAATCAGGTAATATCTATAAATATATTTTCTTATTATATGAATRAATCAGCATCGAAAACTAGATCATTAGGGTATTAGTACTATATATAAATATGAATTTTATATATTACTTTCCTATTGTATTTTCTCTATTTTTTTAGGCTATAAGTTGCTTAAAACGTGCTATTTATTTGCACCCATTTAATTGGATTGCCTTATACAATTTGGGCCTTGTACATCTATACACCAGACAGTATGTTTCAGCATTCGTATTCCTCTCAACTTCAGCGAAATTAAACCCAAATCATGCCAGTACTTTTACGCTTATTGGATGTAAGTCAATCATCAACGCTCAAAATAAATTGATTTTTTTTTTTTTTATAGATATATCACAATACGTGTTATAATTTCTACTTAGTTTAAGGTGTAGTTCAATAAATTTAAAAAACATACTATAATTTGTCATTTAGGAACGTTTTATAATATTACGTTGAAGCATTATTTAGATTATTTATAGTGTACACAGAATTCAAAGATAAAATAAATTTATTTTTAAATATCATAGTAAAATCAATACATTTATCGCTCCGCTAAGAATCTAAAAAATATTAAACCGTCATTTTATTTCAAATATTTGATAAAATACAATTATTTGATTGTTAAATAGTGTGAAGAATTATTAATGAAATCAGAAATATGAGGAGGTGTGGGGGGCAAAGCTCTCCACGCCTTTAATTTATGATAAAAATCGTAGCCCCCATCTTTTTCAATGGAGTACTTCTTAGTTATTAAGGTCCCCACACGCCGAAACGGTGGCATTGGTGGTAAAACGAGCCCAGGCACAATTTACTGTCACTGATACAGTGTTTAGGTACCTTATGCTGTATTGTATACCTTATTAATTTATATCTATTTATAATAAAAAATATTTATTTTGTTTTATTACGTTATTTGTTTAGTGGCATTAAACCATATGAACGACACGAGGAATGCGGAAAAGGCATATCGTAAATCCATAGAGTTAAATCCAGACAATCCAGAAGCGCTAATCAATTTGACAATTTTGGAAGTAAACCAAGGAAAAATTAAAGAGGCTGAAAAATATTTTCACTCTTTTCAAGAAGCATGCCTATCATGTGATGCCATTGATAAAGAAGTAACGTATAAATAAAAAACTATTCACTCAATATTATCATTTACCTATATGATAGTTACTACTGAGGGTTATCACTGGGTTAGGTCATCTGCAGTGCCGCGTTAAGCTATATATATGTTGCCGCCCCTGGGCAAATTAAATTATGCCGCCCTTAAAAAAATTATAACTATAATTATATATTTTATTTTATGTTGACCCTTAAAGATTTGCTGCCCCATCAAACACCATAAAAATTGCCCGGGGAAATTGCCCCCCTTGATCCCCCGTTAGTGTTTAACGGCTCTGGTCGTCTGTATTTTGTATATTTTTTCGTAATATTTTGTGTTGTATTTATTACTTTATTTATAGACATTGTACCTAACATTTAAAATTTTCTATTATAAATATATAATATTAGTCGTATATATTATGGAGCATGGAGCATGCTCACCCGAGTTGCTACATTATTTTCATCAATAATGTGGTTATTTGAAATCCAATTTTTGGATTTTTTTTTTTAACATTCTTAAAGGCCATATTTTCAAATTTTCAAGACTATTGTGATATTGTACTACTTAAGGAGTATCCTGTGTAGAATTGAGATATTAACTTCTATTTTTCAAATGATAACCTCCCTTTTAACGGATATATTTTTTTTTAATTTACGTAAGTACTTATCAAAATAAGATTTCAAATGAGTAATTATTATTAGACTGTAGTTCCATGATAATGAGGTCAATATCAAATAAGTTCCATGGTTTGTTCATATTATGAAGCGCTTCAACCAAAATTACCACTATGAATTTTTTATAGGTATCAAAAATTAACAAAAAACAATTCTATTACTCAAATTCTGCTGTCAGCAGAGCTGTGAAGAGAGCAACCATGACCTGGGGAAAATACCTTGTAGCCACCTTGTATTTTTTACCAGCTATATCATTAACTTTGTCTGGTAACATTTAAGATGTAGAACTTAGGCTGTGTCCATAAAATTCTTATTTTTAATTGTTTCATTAGGTAAAAAATATCAAGTATTCACAAATCTTAAAAATGTCGGACGAGGGGGGGGAATCACAATTTTCTCCACACTTCTCTTAAGGCTTGGCTATCAGTGAGTAATCATTCTACCATCAACCCGGACATCCGGTACGTTGACGCAAGTGTGGCTTCCCGCACGTCCTTCTAATTTAAAAATTTAAAAAATATATATATATTTAGGTTTTTTGTTAGTACCTTAATAATAATAGTAACAGACGATGATCATAAAATTTGGAGGTACATGACTTGTATCGTTGTTTTTTATATTTTTGACTCAAGTACGGAAAATCTCTGTGGATGTGACTAGGCGACGGCGTCCATGACCACCTTGTCGATGAAAATTGGTAAAAATAAGACCGTAGCCGTACTCATAGTCCACCAACCGACGTTTCTACAATACTGCGAGGTGGCTGAAACTGAATTATGAATGACGTGATAAAACACTATCCAACTCCACCGAAACTATACGATTGTGTATAAGTATACACTGTATACGATTGTTTACGAACTTGTTAAATGATTTTTGATCGTCCCTGCCACATCAAATATTCGCTTGGCGTACGGTAACATGCTAACAGCGCCCAAAAATCTCTCGGAAAATGTTTCTTCGACCTGCCAGTAAACACGAGAATACTTGGATAATTAAACATAATATTATTGATTGATTTAAATTAAATAGATAATGATGAACAAATAATGAACCAGAATAGGTACCCGTCACCCGATCAACAAACTGCACAAGTGGTGATTGCTCGAAATAGGTGGGATTTTTCTCATCATGCATACAACGCAGAATATAATTAATATGAATCGCGGAAAAAAAGTCCGGGCAAAAAAGTCCGGTATAATATTATATTATCAAAAAAATCAATGATAATAATTATAATATATAAATAAATATAAAACAATCAAAATAATTAATCATACAAATAAAATATAATAATATATTAAAATTATTTCTTAATTAAATTAAGTATTAATTTTTCTTTTTACCTAATTATATGACGTGCCTATATCGGACTTTTTAAACACGGACTTTTTTACTAGGACTTTTTTTCCTAGGACTTTTTTACCTCGGACTTTTTGGTAGTCTACCAATTAATATAATACACCGAGTGATTCTTTTATCATCAAAAACTCTCTATTTAAAAAAGTACCTATACATTAAATGTAATTGAAAAAAACTTTATATGGTTTCTAGTCGTTGAAAATACAAAATTAAATAAATAAAAATATATATGTTTTTACTTTTTTGAATGACAACATTTAGTATTTTTTCATATTAAATTTCCGAATATTTTAAAGGAAGCAAACCGAATTCAGAACGAGTAGTTCATAAGTTATAACTCTAAAGTTTTGATGAGCGGAGTGAAATGGTACACAGTTACACCACAAAATGTAGTACACTACTCCGCTCCTATCTAAACTACTTTAAATAGTATAACAACCGATAAACARCTCGTCCTATTTTTTTATGCATTAAAATACTTAATCAGACAAATATTCTGTTTTTGAAGATGAGATTAAAACTATATTTTGTAGTTTAAAAACTAAAATACTTCAAAACTATTTAAAAGTATATTGTTTTGAAACGATTTGAAATCATGTAAAAAATATTTTAAAAAACATTTCTCACACTCGGTAGGTGCCCTTATAATCAGGGTACCCCAATTAAAATCGGGATTCCAACCCCACTGTATCGCTGCACTAACGAAGTACCTACTTGTTATAATTTTATGTATGTTAGTTGCTAATCAATATGCATCATATATTATCACATAATTTTACATTAATTTAGAGATTTTGGTTATTGCAGTTAATTGTAATTGTCCAGATAAACGTTACCTTATAAATTGTAAATTCTTAAAAAAAAAAAAATTAAATAAACAAATACATTGAATTTTGCAGTCATTAACATTAATTTTTTTAGAATATCTAAGTAAATAAAAATCTTTTTAATCTCATATTTTAATTACTCATGTTGTTATGTTTATTGAAATATTGAAACACTGCTTTAAATACAATTCTATAAAAACAACAACTGTGCCAATACCTAAAAATTGTTGGGAATTCACTATACGTCTATATGACTATATATTTTAGCTTCTTACGAAATTTGTACAATATTTGTCTTTTGTTTATTAAGTAATAGAAGTAGTAGTAGTAGTAGAAGTACCTATATATAGTTATATCTTATTTGAAAAAGACTAATTAACAAATTATTATACCCTCCTACAGTCCTACAATAAAAAAAAAGTAAGAGGGCGTGGTACACTGGCACCCACACTTGATATGTCCGTCTTACCAGTGCATAAAATACGAAACTACGCTCATCAAATTACGTTTAACTTCGTTACAGGTAAAAAAAATAAAGTGAATTAACCTTTTATAAAATTTAAGAGTAAYATTATTATCTAGGACATTTCGTAGGCTTTTTAATATTATATTATAATTTTAAAGCGATTATGGATATTTTAAAAATGTAGGTGCCACCCTCATTTATATGTAATCTAGATAAATTTGTTTGGTTGTGGCGGCGGGAGAGACCATAATGTATTTTTTGCTATCCTTGAATCCGTCAATGCATGGAGGTACTTACAAAGTCGTTGAAAGGACAGTCAGGTTCGTCAAACTCGTACATTATACGTTTAAAATTCTAAGAAAAATTCGTTTGAGCTGATCAAAATGATTGTGAATTAGTGGTTTCTATAAAAATAGTCTAAAATATAAACAAATAAATCGTTTGGTAACGGTAATATTATTGTTTATGAGTTTATGACATATATTAAATATTATAATAACACCTATCAGCAGTCAGCTTGTAGCTACATGGTTATATCATAGAGTAATATTATATATTTAATTAATAATGTATATTAGTACATTAATATATTATTATTAGTATATTATTAATATATATACAGAGGCGTATTTAGGCACAGGGCCTAGAGTGGCAACATTGGAGGGAGGCAAATTTCAACGATTTTTTTTCACAAAATTATAAAAAGTATTTTTCATTTGATGAAATCAAAGTCAACTAATTTTTGTTCGCTCAAAATTAATCATCTTTCTATATTATGTAGTACCTACAACTATATTATACACATACGCAACTCAGTATGAGCACATAGATAACAAAACACGCGCATTCAATGCGGGTTCGATTTCTTATAATAAAGACAGAATTTTATTGTATGAAGTAATTAATTTGAAAATTAAATTGTAGCAAGGATGAGAGGGGGGAGGAAGGCGACGAATTGGAAAGTGCCTATAGGCGGAAAAAACTTAAATAAGCCACTGTATATATAATATATATATATAATTACTCTATGGGTTATATGGACATGGAATTACAGTTAATAATTATTCAATCGACCAATATTTTTTTATTTTGTTTCCTGTTTAGTATAATTCTAGATAGCTGCTTAGCTGCATGGTCGCTATTAGGTCAAAAACGGTGAAAAAACAATGGGTTTGCCTAATTTGCAAAATCATAATATTGTTCGTGTATCGTGTCGATACGCGTATTAATTAATATCTATAACAGACAATAACGACAATAACTAATAAGTATATGATGTTATATCGAAAATTAACGTTAATGTGGGAATTATCGTTATTTTCTAGTGAATAACTTTAATAACCGTATAATTTGGGAAATGTTGATTAGATAATAAAACAATGGCCAACGAGCAATGACAAAGTGATGGCTAAACTAATTGTGGTACTAATTGGGTAAATCAATAAAACTTTATCGGCCACAGATAAGGTGGACACTGGACCTATACAGTATACAATGACCATACATATTATAACATCAGCTGTGGAGCGGATATGGTATTCTTAAATACAATTACACACGCCAATAAATAGCTGCTTGCGAAGAAAATCTATTAGACATGGACAATGTGATAAAATTAGTAGGTGGTAGACAGTTGACACTGATGGAAGCAGCTGATAATAGTTCGGTTGCGGGCCCTCAAGGGTACCAGCGTTGTTATTGCAAGACTGGTTGTAATAATATGCGTGGTGCCTGCCGTGGGGCTGAAAAATGATGTAATAGCAAATGTCATGRGAATACAAGTTGTAAAAACAAATAAAAAATAATAATGCATTTTTTTTTAAAAATACTTAGGTACATCATTTTTCAAATAATTGTAGTATTTGATATTCACGTCCATAGCTGGTCTATAACGACAATTACCTGTGTATTTGGTAAATAACGTTAATAACCGGCGAATAACGTTAATTTCCATCTAACATCATTGTAGATTCTAGATTATAGGCAATATACGCATATAACATACTTTTTTTAGTTTTATATAAAAACTGTTATAATAGCGAAGCGAGGAGGGAGGGAGTGAGGCGTCTGATATAAATAGGAGTAACTATATTGTACTCAAAATTAGAGCTCGTCTCAATACCAAACTGTAAAGATGACGTAGATTGACGCTTAGTCATAATATAACATTTGCCGCCCACGGCACATCTCTAAATGTACATACTCCGAGTCAAATCGAAATCTCAGGTTATGCAACTCTGTTTTAAAATTTTTGTGTGATTAAGTTAAAAAAAACAATTCACTTTGTATAATATTCATCTGGATCTGAAATACCGGATTGCTAAGACGTAACGAATGAAGGCTAGCAGGGCTTGAAGTGAAACAGAATAGCAAAGCCACAGAGGGTAATGTAAATATCTATATTTTGAACGTTAAACTGTGAATTGTAAACTCAAATAATAATTTTTTTTTTTTTTAAATTTAAAATTTTTTACATTTTCGCTAACCAACGATGATGTGTGTGGACTGTGAATYGTGATAGAGTCCTTACGCGTTTTTCAGTTCTTTTAGTCTTCAACATTTAGTTCCTTTAGGCTCTATATACAATTATACTGTATATGCAACCATCCTGCTAATATGTCACAAAWATTATAAATCTAGTTTCCATGTAAAATCCTCAGTTTTATCACCAATAATATTTTTAATCCAAACTAGCATCCATTTTTCTTGGATTTCAACTCCGTGTAACAATTATATATAACATAARTTTTAGGCAACAAAGTACACTGTAAATCCCTAAATGTTTATTTAAAAAAAATTAAAGAAAAAATGAAATAAAATCTAATGAAAATTTCATTTAATTTACAATATTTAGTGTTTAAAAAAAACATGTTTAAATGTTTACATAGTGTATAACAGCCGCTGTTCATAGTACTGCATCATTGGTATAAACAGCCCCATACCAATTACCCCTTTATAATTGGGTTTAGTGTAAACATTTAACACTATAGGAACCTATATTTTATGGCGATTTAAACACAATACCACAGGTATATAAACAAGTTAAATATAATTAATTTAACTATCTAAGTAGACTATCATGCTTACCAGTAACCAGACGAGCGCCTAAATAAATACCGACAACTTATTGTAAATATAATCGATTAGTGAGAAAATAGGATAGTCGAAGATACCTATCGGCACGAGCTTGCGGTTTTAGATGCCGTAGCTTTACCCGCGACGGTTACCGCGTTATATTACTTCGAAAGTACAACAGTCACCTAAAGTATAATGCACAAATATCCTGTATATACTATACACAGTATACCTATACAGTAACTGTACCAGGGGGTTACCATATTAATCGTTATATTCATATTTACCATATTTATACCATTTCATATTTTTGAAAGAAATCTGGACACTGTTCGTGGGCCATCGAAATTGCCCGAAGTCGCGTCGGTAAAAACCAATGGACAAAAATTACAACATTAGACTTTTTAATATCATCGGTTTTCCTTTTTTTTTTCTCCTCGGCGGACCGGATAAAATTTTTCCACGGGCCGACATTTGATGACCCCCTGCAAGTACTCTATAGGCACTAGTATAGAAATATGTGGTATTTAATGTTGCGACCGTTATCGATTTCAGATTATTGAACTAGGAAAGCAGGTTTCGGACGTTCTTGACGGACATCCGGGATCCCTAGACGAAGACGACGATGAAACGACCGGACATGATGAACCTTGTGCGGCGGTGGTAGAATGACAAGTTCCTCTTCAAACATAATTATTAGCACTACACACCCAGGTACAGATTTGTAGAGGGGGGGGGGTTATTACATTTTTTCCAGAAAAAAATACAAATATAAATTTAGTGAGTGTATAATATAATTATTAACTGATGAATGTCATATTTAGGGGCCTAAGAGCTGGTGCTAAAACCCTTTAATCTCCCCTCGGATCCTATACCATCCGAGCAGCTCGAGCAGGTATACACGAGGGCAAATGGCGCCATACTTATTTTAAACAAATCTGGACCAAGCTTGAAAATTATAATATAGTGGTTACTGAAATTAAATATACGTGATTGCAATATTGTACTGGACATATTTGAGCTGCAGTGCGTACCTATACTTAACTGCTACACAGAGTAATACTCGTATACTTTAAATCCATTTAGTTATAAGGTAGACATTCCGTTTCCGTATTAATAAATATATAACAAATTAAATGATATTTGATCGTGTTTCTTTCTTGCTTTAAATCTAGTTCGGTACCTAAGTATATGTATTATTATTATTTTAAGGTATACTAGAATATGGACGTAGCGCGATTATACTGAAATAAATTCACCGAAAATACTGAACTGGTACGTAACCACATACAGTCGAACTTCTTTTACTTGAAATCGTCGTTACATCGAACTTTTACTCCGGTCCCTAGAATTTCCTATTTAAACGATGTAAAAAAATCTTGTTTAACTCGAATGTTTTCGTGGATAACTCGGGAGTTCTGAGTTTTATTAATATATATATTATTATGTAAATTGTGATATTTCCCTCATGTACCTATAAAATAAGGTCATTACTCATTACATCGTTACCGATAAGTGGTTTATCTAACTCGTTTACTAGACGACAATGCATGAATTTCGTGTTCAGTACTCTGTGTCTGTTTCAACGTGATCGTTAGTAATGTCGTCATCAAAACGGGTGCTAAAAAAGCGCTAACATACGAGGAAAAAGCGGCAGCAATACGGGAAGTTGAAAATGGATTGAAAACAAAACCTTTGATAGCTAAAGAATTTGGTATTCCGCTTAACACTTTGTCGAATTATCTTAAAAATAAAGAAACAATTTTAAATAAGTCCAGTAAAAAGGGCAGAAAAAGGGCTGGAGAACCGGGAAATCCTGACGTAGATGAGTGCGTTTACAAATGATTTAAACAGACACATGACTAAAAAATACCCCCCCTCCCCAGTGGGCTGTTGATAAGAGAGCAAAAGCTAAAGAATTCGCATTAAAATTAGATAAACATAATTTTAAGGCAAGCAATAATGGATCATGGATGGCTCGATGGTTTCAAAGAAAGAAATGGCATTTGTTTTAAAACCGTAAGTGGTGAGAGTGGTGATGTAAAAATGTTCAAGAATATTTTTCATTACATTACTTTATTTATAATAAATACACAGCAATAGAAAAAAAAATTTAATTTGGATAACTCGAACTTTTTTCCGGTCACTTCAACTTCGATTTAACCAAATTCGACATGTACTATGTATGAATGTACAAATTAATGTTGAATTGATTTACCAAAGAAAATACTAGAATATACTCGAGAAATTATATTTGTAAAATCATAATTATATAATCAAAAGTGTGGATATCATATTATATAATATTGAGTGTGTAGTACCTAAACCTAATAATTTCCAAATATCTTTAATATTTTATGTTATGGGTTGTTAAGTAACTTAATAGTCTCGTAACTTTTTCTTTTAAGCAGAAACAAAAGTTGAAATAGAATGATTTTAAATTTAAGTTTTTATTAATCAACATTTTTTATTGTGTGATTATTTCTAAGACACTTTCCTTAATGGCTCCAAGTATTTTGGCTAAAATATAAATGCAATACACAAATAATTAAGTACATCAGTTTTTTTTTATTAATACAGTAACATAATGTTAATTAAGTTTCATCACAATTCATAATAATATATTATATAAATAATAATTAGGTACTCTTAGGGTTATAAATGACAATATACAGCAATTTCATACCTCCAATATTTGTTAACATAATAATATAAACTAAAGATGAGAGAAAGATTATATATGAATAGAATATTACAAATAAATTGGACTGGGTATCACATTTAGTACATATTATTACGACTTATGTTTACATAATACATAAATAAATTTAAAAATAATAATGAGATGATATTAATATTTATTATGCAGTTTTATTAAAAGGACGCTACACAAGAATTTGTTGTCTCTATCTTACAAACATATAACATGGTATTTTTTACGTTTACAATAATACATTTTGCTCTGTAACTTCTAAAATTAGAATTAATTTACCCCTTATACAATTTAAAGCTTAGAATATTTCATAAGATTTTTTTGATATCATTATTTTTAAAAGTCTACACAAAATGTAAATTTTAAAAATTATCATAACTTGCTTCTCAATAAAAATATTAATAAAATCTTATAAGATGTCCTAGATAATATTCTAACCTTTAAATTTTACAAAAGGTAAATTCACTCTAATTTTAGAAATTACAGACTAAAATGTATTATTGTGAACGTAAAATCTACCATGTTATATGTTTGTCAGAGAGATACAATAAATATCTGTGAGGCATCCTTTAAAATTAATCGCATTTTGAGGTATCCCCAAAATAAGTCTGTTCTCGAGAACATTAACAAAGTATAATACAAAATATTTTAATAAAAATACAATTTTTACCGAACTGAGTAACTAAAATATAAACATAGTCCTTAGGTATACATAATTACCTATATTATTTGTGATGTAATCGCTTATATCATAATGATATTCAGTGACTAGCCCAAAATTCAATCCATACATTTTACTTGCACTATGCGGGTACACAACTAGACATTTTTAAAGGTGGTATCATCGAGTACTCAAATTACAAATAACTACACAAAACCAAACACTATTATATTATTATATCAGTACAATTATAGTCCCGTGTTATAAAACGATAAAACAAGAAAGAAAAACAAAAAAGAAAACATATAGGGCGACTTTCACATAATATAGGCAATAGGCATCGATAAATTACAGCATGCAATTAATCAATGCTTAGATATCTATTATCCAACACCCAACATTTGCGCTTCTAATACAGTATGTATAAGATTTTATAGTAAGTTAAATACAATAAATTAATATTGGTAGATAATATGCGTGATATATTTTAATAATACAGCAGAGCATTAATATTATCCAACAGAATTATCAAAAATGAAGAAAAAAGCATTTCAATGAAATTGTGAGAAGTACATAATAAAAATAAAATATATATTTATAATTCAAATATTGTGAGTATATACTGAATGTAACTGAATGATATAAATATTTAAATTAGCAAAAGCCAAATCCTTCAGATACACACCATATATAATTAAATATTTAATTTGATTAATTTAAATAAACCCCACATTACTAAAAATTTAGATTATTTTGTCACCATTATTCCCCTAAACTAAATTGGTCGATCAAAACTTTACTGTATTATTATCCATAGCATAAAGACTTAATGTATTATTTATTGAATACTCAATACTAACATAACCACAATATTATATAAATAAATGATAGATTTTCCCCCAAAATTTTTTATTATTACTTTATTATTAAAGGTATATAAATTAATGATATTTCACAACACTGTTTTCCGTATATTTTATAGTTTATAGATAAAATTATTAAGTAAATGAAAACAAAATAAAACCACTAAAAATTTACAAATGTTACTATTCCCAAACACTAACACCTAAATGCTCAGATAATAATATAATAATCAAACTATAATTGATCAATAAAATAACAGATGCACATTGTCCCTACACCATTTAATTTAATGTTAACGTTACAGAATAATATTGAAACTTTAATTTTTTTCATATAATTCATTTAACGGATCCTAAAAAAAAGTTTACAGTAAGTACAACATAGTAATAAACAAGTAAAAATAATTAAAAAAAAACATGATTTCAATCTACAAGGTAGGTTACCCTAGAGAAAATTAAGTTTGGTAAGTACTTATAAAGAAACATTATAATTCAATTTTACATTTAAGTAGTAAAATATAATAATTAATTTAGATTCATAAAAAATATTGCAACATGTTTGTTCTTGTTAATTTTCAATTGAGTAAATTTAATAAACAAATGAGTCAATTAAATGAATAAAATTTATGAAAAAAAATTAAAAAAAATAGTTTTCAAACATCTTAAAACTAGTTTGACAACAAAATAAAATACAAAAGTGTATAATTTTATATTGCACATAAGAAACTGGCTGCCATACATGGGAATAATTATAAAAATGKAATAATAGTTAACTACAGTATAATAATAAATAAATAAAATTTAATTATTGGTATAAACGCGTGAAAATATTATGGCACCATTGTTTATTTTCATTGAGCTTGCAAGGAACGAAAGACAAACTAATGTTTATGTGCCGTGGGTAGATAGATTTTTTGATAAAATCGACAATATGAAGTGTTTCCACAAAAAGTAGTAATATTTATAATAATAATACTAGTAACACATGAGAAAATTATTTTAGTAACAATATTAAATGAAATTTGTTAAATAAACAAAATAATTCATTGGAAAAATTGTCAAACAATAAATAAAACATTTTTAATCCAGTGATAATAATAATAATAATAAAATAATAATATTAAGAAAATATTTAAAAAAATTAAACAGAGGTTATCAGAGAACCAAGTTAGGACGGCAATTCAATGCATAATATTAACAACCGGATGTTCAAAAACAGGACGGATATTGAAACCACCGTTAAAAGGGACTCAATATATTATAATGTCAAGACTTAGTTTAAAAATAATAACTGTATAGAGGACGGTTTACACTTAATTTGTTCAACTCTACCAACAAGAGGTGAGAAATATCACAAATAAGGTTTTTTGTTTTCATATAAATAATAATACTAAAAATATTATGTTTCACCAGTCCCTGCGTTGAGGCTGATTGTACCTTTTTGAGGTTTTTGACGGTGTTGAAGAGTTGGGAGTACCCATTGATCGCCGAACGTTTTTCATTTCTCGGTCCATTTCAATTTCCTCTAACCGTTGGGTGACCATTAATTTCTGTTGTACAGACAAACGTAACAGCTGATTAAGCGTTTTTTTCTCTTCTTCAGCAGCTACCAACTGTCGCTGTAAATCATCCATGTGAGTCACTTGTTCTTCACATCGTGCAGCAAACATAGCTCTCAAACCTGCAAATAATAAATAAATACTCTCACACGTATTGAAAAATGAACATAGGGGCGAAAATTAAAGGCGATGTTCAAGTATTTACTTGAAAATGTAGCAGCATCTTCTTTTAGTGTACGCAGCTCATTACGTAATTTAGTCATGGTTTCAGTAACAACCATTTTCTCATTATCGTATTTGGATTTCAAATTATTTAATGCTACCTCGGCAGTATTTTTA